CAAGTCACGCTGGAAAAGCACAGGGCATTGTCACATGCTTGAGAGCAACGCCCTATCGCGGTAGCAGAAGAGGGGTGTTCCTTCCCTTGGATATTTGTGTGTTTGACAAACACAACACATGGTGTTTCACAAGAGGATTTTCTATGGAAGAACCAAGCTATAAAGGTGAGAGATTAAATATTTGTGTCATTGCTAGCCCAGGACGCTGGCACTTAAAGCATGCTAGGTCCTTCCACAAAAGTGTTCTTGTGAAAGCATTTCCTGCTTTTCTTCAAGTTGCTCTGGAGGACTACTTAAAGAAAATTCAACAAATGAATTTTTATATATTCCACCCATCTTTACAGCAGACGGATGCTTCCCGTTACTTCCATTATCTGTGTATATTCAGTCATGAGGAAGAAGAACTTAATTTCATGGCATTGGGGAAAAAAAGCAGTTTGGCTAGAAGAAAACAGAGTAATATGTTTGTGACCTTGCAGCAGGCCAAGAATTTTTTCTAAAACAGGACTTCTAAGGGCGCCTGGGTGGCTCAGTCGGTTGGGCATCTGCTTTCGGCTCCGGTCGTGGTCCCAGGGTCCTGGGATTGAGCCCCGCATCGGGCTCCCTGCTCAGCGGGGAGCCTGCTTCTCTCTCTCCCTCTGCCGCTCCCCCTCCTCGTGCTCTCTCTCACTCGCTCAAATAAATGAATAGAATCTTAATAAAATGAAATAAAATAAAATAAAGAGGACTTCTATTCACCAGAAGATACCCTTGAGACGTAAAAAGGCAGTCCATAGAGTGGGGTAAGATCTTTTCAATGTGTGTATCTAACAAAAAACTCATAGCAAGAATATATAAAGAACTCTTACAAATCAATGAGAGAGACAACCTAATAGAGAAATGAGCAAAGTCCTTAATTGACATTTTGCCAGATATGGCAATGGCCAATAAACATATAAAAAGGTGCTCAGCTTTATTAGTCATGAGGGAAATGCAAATTAAAACCATAATGCACTGGGGCACCTGGGAATTTTGGATTGATTTAACAATGAATGACTTTTGAGATAGATGATTCTTTTTTTTTTTTAAAGATTTTATTTATTAATTTGAGACACAGAGATACAGAGAGAGAGAGAGCATGAGCAGTGGGAGAGGCAGAGGGAGAGGGAGAAGCAGACTTCCGGCTGAGCCAGGAGCCCGATGTGGGGCTCGATCCCAGGACCCTGGGATCATGACCTGAGCTGAAGGCAGACGCTTAACCATCTGAGCCACCCAGGCGCCCCGAGATAGATGATTCTTAATAAGAATAGAGTAGCAGGGGCACCTGGGTGGCTCAGTTGGTTAGACATCTGCCTTCGGCTCAGGTCGTGATCCCAGGGTCTTGGGATTGAGCCCAATTGGGCTCCCTGCTCAGCGGGGAGCTTGCCTCTCCCTCTCCCTCTGTCTGCTGCTCCCCATGCTTGTACTCTCTCTCTGTCTCTCTCAAATAAATAAATAAAATCTAAAAAAAAAAAAGAATAGAGTAGCAGTTATGATTGTGCCTCAATTAAAATTTTGGCAGTACTACTTACTAGCTCTCTGATGTTGAGCCCGTTATCTAACCTTCTACACAACAGTTTCCATATATGTGAAATGGAAATAATGGTACCTTTCTCCCAGGGTAGTTATGAGAATTACATGAATTAATATTTGAAAAGCATTAGAATGGTGCTCAATGCATAGTATGATATTTGGGTTTCTTAATCATGTAACACCTAAAATTAAGTAAAAGTAGTCTCTGATCATGGATATGTAGAGAAAATAATATACTTTAATTTATACAAAATTTTATTTCATCCTTTTAAAACTCCTATTTTGTATTTAAATGTGCTTTTTAAGATGACAACTAATCTGTGTATATAATTTATAAAATGTAGGGGTGCTGTGGAATTTTTTTTGTGCTGGATCACAACAATTTGACGACTGCTGTTCCAGATTAAGAATCAGTCTGTAAAACTGAAACAGATATTGTATAGGAATAAGTTATGTAGAGAGCATCACTGTTCTTTCATTGTGATTAGTATTCTGGAGATATTAGTGTGTCTTGTACATTTTTAAGGGTGTGTTCTGGAGAATCTACACAGAGCCTCTCTAAGGGGAAACCTGATGTACCACGTGATCGCTGTCAATTACCTCTATTGCATAATAAAAGGATTAACCACTTGAAAAAGAAAAGAAACCATAATGCAATATCACTACACATCGGCCAGAATGGTTCAAATGAAAAAGTGCTGGCAAGTATGCAGAGCAACTAGAACGCTCATGCACTTCTGTTGGGAGTATAAATTGGTATAATCACGGAAAAACTGCTTGGTGGTATCTGCTGGAGCTGAATAAACACATGCCCTTCTCATTCTAGGTGGGTAGGCAACGGAAAAATGTCCACATGTCTACCAAAAGACATGTATTACCACGCTCATAGCAGCACCTGTCATAATAGTCCCGAATTGGAAACTACCCAATTGCCCATCAACAGAAGAATGGAAAACCGTGGTACATTCATACAATGAAATACTATATACCAATACGAATAATCTACAGGCACATGAGCAATATGGATGAATCTCATAAACACAATGCTGAGCAAAAGAAGTCAGATACAGAAGACTACATAGGTATGATTGCATTCATGTGAAGTACAAAGCAGGCAAAATTAATCTGTGTTTTCTTAAGTCAGAAATACCCTCCGGAGGAAGATGACTAGGGACTGGGAGGAATACATAAGGGGATTATGGGGTGCTGGAAATGTTCTATTTCTTGATCTGGGCATTGATTACCAGAGTCCTATATGTATACTATATTTTAAATAATTTAAAAGTTAAAATAATAATTTGCATGTATAAAATCAAGAATCTTAAAAATTTATCTTTTGTCTCAGTAATTTCACCTCTAGGAATCTATGAAATCAATATTATTTTTATAGCTTGTTAATGTAACCTCTTATCTACTAGGAACTGTGCTAGGTGCTTTACGTACATTAACCCACTTGCTTTTGTGAATCACATTTTTCCCATTTCATCTTCTAATTATTATTGCTAACATATAAATTAGCTATTTTTGTTTATGTATTTATCTTTTATCAGGCCACTTGACTAAGTTATTTTAATTCCAATAGCTCCTTTGGCTAATTCTCTAGGGTTTTCTAAGTAAACACTGTATCATCATCAAATAGTAATAATTCTGTCTCTTCCTTTACAAAACTTGCCTTATTGAATTGATTGGACCCTCCCAAATAAAAAAATAAATCTTTTATTAAAATTCCACGTATGAGTGAAATCATATGGTATTTGTCTTTCTCTGATTTATTTTGCTTAACATAATACTCTCTAGCTCCGCCCACGTTGTTGCAAATGGCCAGATTTCATTCTTTTTGATGGCTGAGTAATATTCCATTGTATATATATAATCCACAACTTCTTTATGGACATTTGGGCTCCTTCCATTATTTGACTATTGTTTTGTTTTGTTTTTTAAGATTTTATTTATTTATTTGAGAGAGAGACAGAGATAGCAACAGAGATAGCAACAGAGAGAATGAGCGGAGAGGAGAGGGAGAAGCATGGAGCCATGGTGGGGCTGGATCCCAGGACCCCAGGATCATGACCTGAGCTGAAGGCAGATGCTTAACCAGCTGAGCCACCCAGGAGCCCCTTATGTTTTTTGTCTTTTTTTTTTTTTTAATTTTAATAGTTGTTCATTACTTTTATGATTGTCTACTATAGTGGTGAGAGAGGATAATTGGAATAATATGTTTGAAATATTCTTTCAACAAAAATCTTTGTATTTTCATTAGTAATTTTTACAGTCTCTTTATTCAGAATCCAGCTCCTTCATTTTGTAACTTAAGTAAATGACTCCTCTCCCTTGGTACACGCTGAATATCACATAAAGGGGTGCCCTGGCACATGCTCAGTCCTAAAATCACACTTTGACCTACTGTTCCTGTAGCAGTCCCTCTGCTTCCGGATACCCACTATTTCCTGGATCTGCAGTCCTCTTCCTTCCCCATTGCTCTAGTTCACGCTTTCATTATCTTCCACCCCCAATAAACAAGGGCTCCCTAACTGGTTTATCCATCCAACTATTCGACGTGAGATTTGTAAAATGCAAGCCTTTGGGATGATTTTCACTTGTCCAGCCCACGGAATAAAGTGCTGACTCTGGGGCTTGCTATGTAAGCCCCTGAAGGGGCCTGTCTTATTTCCGGGTATTCTCCATCTTGCACCCAAAGTCTAAGCAATGTCTTAATGCTCGCAGTAAGTATATACCCCAGTTCGTGTAGTTTTGTTTTGGGGGAAGGGACTAGGGGGGCACTGAGGAAGAGATTATCAACCATCGAGGAAAGGGCCCACACCCGAGGCAGGAAATGGGATGCCTCCAGCTAGCTGAAAGTACAGACTTTTTCCCAGCCATAAATACATCTCATTCCTTTTTTTTTTCTTCAAAGATTTTATTTATTTATTTGAGAGAGAGAATGAGAGAGAGAGAGAGCATGAGAGGGGGGAGGGTCAGAGGGAGAAGCAGACTCTCTGCCAAGCAGGGAGCCCGATGCGGGACTCGATCCCGGGAGTCCAGGATCATGACCTGAGCAGTCACTTAACCAACTGAGCCACCCAGGCGCCCAATACATCTCATTCTTGTGATCTTGTGATCTCTCCCTAGAAGAACCAGTCCGTCAGACTACCCGATTCCAGCCCCTTCCGCCCCACAGCGTTTCCCGTTAAAACCACCAGTGGTTTGCATCCTCCCATCTTCCCGCTTCTGAAGTTCCCCGAGCCCGGGCCGTCCTCTAGCTCGTTCGCCCTTCAGGCTGGGGGAAATGTCCGTTCCCGCTCGCCCCCGCCGCCCGCCGCCCGCCGCCCGGCGCTCGCACGACTGCGTGTGCTTCTCGGTCTCGGCGCCTGGAGGGGCCCGGAGCCGGCCGGTCACGTGGCACGCCGGTAGTCACGCGGGCGCCGCTCAGCTGACCGGGGGCTCACGTGGCCCCGGCGGCCGTGAGCGAGGAGAGCGGCGGGCCATGGCGGGCTCGGGGCTCTGGTTTCCGCTGCTGCTGGCGGCAGCGCTCGGCGGCCGGGCCACGGCCCTTTGGCCCTGGCCCCAGTACATCCAAACCTCCGAGTCCCACTACGCCATCTTCCCGCACAACTTCCAGTTCCGGTACCACGTCAGTTCGGCCGCGCAGCCGGGCTGCTCCGTCCTCGACGAGGCCTTCCAGCGCTACCGCGACCTCCTCTTCACCTCCCGCTCTTGGCAACCTCCTGAACCCACAAGTGAGTCGGACCTGCCCTGCCTCGTTTCCGGCTCCGAGAGAGCCTGCCCGGGGGCGCCTCCCCAAACCTCCCGAGACGCCCTTCTTTTGGCTTCTGCCCAACCCTGTCGTCTAGTCACAGCCCTCTGGTCTCCACTTCCTCCTGCGCCCTTTCTCCAGCTGTCATCTCAGACCCCCCCACGTTTAGTCCCCAGCTCCATTCTCTGCTTCACTGAGCTGACTTCTGGAGCCAGGATTTCTCTGGAATCCTGCCCCCCGGGCTCTGTTTCACCAAGAATGCCTGCTACGGGACTGCAGTTCAATCAGGATGTCAAACTGCTGAAAATACTGGGCCAGGAGACATCGAAGGTGATCCGTCTGACCGTGTTCAAGTGTCTAGGGTCCCAGTGAGGCTGTGACCGGGGCTGGGTAGAGGACATCAGAGCTGACACCAAAGATTGGCAAGATAAGACACTAGAAATGACTTGACCTATGCAGAATTACATGAAAAGTGTCTGACACATGGCATGTCCAGTAAATGTTTAAACTGTGAGAGAAATCGGAGAACACTTCCATAGGGAAATGAATTTTGAGTAACCACTTAAAGTGGGGTGGTGGATATAATTGGCCAGGACTGAAAGAGTATTCCAGGGAGGAACCCTGGAATTGATAAGGTGTATCAACAAGAGGGTTAGCCAGTTGGATTAGGAGTTCTCTCCCACCTTTGTGGAGTCACTGACAGTGAGGACAGCTGAAGAGAGGAGGTTGGATCTGTGGAGGTGATAAAGTTTTTTTTTTTTTTTTAATGTTTTTTATTTATTCATGAGAGTCAGAGAGAGAGAGAGAGATAGAGGCAGAGGCAGAGGCAGAGGGAGAAGCAGGCTCCCCGCCCAGCAGGGAGCCCAACATGGGACTCGATCCCAGGACCCCGGGAAAATGACCCACGCCGAAGGCAGACGCTCAACCATCTGAGCCACCCAGGCGCCCGAGGTGATAAAGTTTTATGTGTGAAGGATTTTCTGTGATCTGCCTCAAGGTTTATGGATCTATATAATCCACCATCATAGAGAAATGGATTTGCTTTTCTTCTCAATTCCTGGCTAGAGTGAAGAAGACCCATTACTGTGTCAACCTCTCTCTTTCATTTCCTTTGCTTCTGTTTTAAGCTTTTGTTATTGCTTAAGCTTCCTTAGCGTTGCACTCAGCCCTGAATCTAGACAATAGTGGTGTGCTATTGATGTCCACTTCTTGAAGGTGATTGGGCTTGGGTATGGTGTAGAGCTTTTTCCTTTGGAAGTGTACGCTCGGATGCAGGAAGTTTGGGTGCTTATCACCTTGGGTATCAGTAAGCAGCCTCCCCTTCTTTTGCAAAGCTTTGGGAGCAAGGGAGATGGTTTACCAGGTACACTATATCCTAGCTGAAAAGTTTAACTGTTGTCTTATTTGACCTTGTCCTGGTAGTAACTAGTACTGAGATCCCACGTTAATGGCTTTGGTCTTTGGACTAGAGCCACAGTCCTAGTTTGAGGTAAATTCAGAGCTCTAAGCTCATGTCCCTTTTATATTATTGGAGTTTCAGCCTGTTTGCCATACAGGGTGTCATCACACAGTAGTGGAGCTTTTGGGCTCCTCTGAGAAGCTCATGAAAAGCCCTCAGAGAAGCCGTTCTGATGGTGTGGTTACCCCACAGGACACCCCAACTCTGGGCTCCTCCAGCCGAGTGGCAAAACTGACTTCTTAAGAAAAAGGAAGTAGAAGGTGGAAGGAAACTAGCATTTATTGAGTGTCTGGCACTTGCTTTATATTATGCCCTTTCATCTTTTTAATAGCTCTATGAGGTTGGTGTTATCCCCATCCTTCAGAACTGAGACTCACAAAGGCTAAGTAACATGTGCAGGGTTTCACAGCTAATAGTGGTGGAGCAGAAATTCCAGTCAGGTCTGTTTGTCTACAAAGATTTTGCAATCTTGGGGCGGTCTACTACTCACAAATATTTTCACCAAGTATTATACCGATTAGTGATTTGGAAAACTATTTTTTTTTTTTAAGATTTTATTTATTTGAGAGAGAGAGAATGAGAGACAGAGAGCATGAGAGAAAGGAGGGTCAGAGGGAGAAGCAGACTCCTTGCTGAGCAGGGAGGCCGATGGGGGACTTGATCCCGGGACTCCAGGATCATGACCTGAGCCGAAGGCAGTCGCTTAACCAACTGAGCCACCCAGGCGCCCCAGATTTGGAAAACTATTGGCCTTTGGTAGGAGTAAGCCCTGATCATACTTTAGTGTTAATTACCTCAGATAGTAACTTCTAACATCTAATTGCTTAATCATTAGCACTCAAGTTATGAATGTTTTGATCCCGGGCCCATCATTATCAGATTCCAGTAGTGTTTCTGGCCAGCTTCCTTCTTTCCTTCCATCCTTAGTACAAGTAGTATTTACTAAGCAACTATAATTTGTCATTAGCACTTGTCCAAGAATATTAATTGAACTGTCCTTGTCCTTAAAGAATTTAGAGTCTCTGGAAGTGGGAATACAGTAAAGTATCAGTAAAGTGATTTTTGCTGGTAAGTACAAGGTACTTTGGGAACATCTGACCCACGTGTGTGTGTTGGGGTGTAGGAGAGGGTACCTTTTGAGAAGCCTTCCATAAAGAGCTGTCCAATCATATTTGAAAGTAGGAGTTGGTGGAATAGGTAGTAATTCACATGGAAAGAACTGCATGTGGGAAGAGCCTTCAGGAAAGAAGCCTTCATGTCATATATTTAAGAAACTCAGTGTCACTGTGGTTGAAGCACACAGATCTAGGGTGGTTCAGCAGGTTAGTTATACAGTACAGAAGCTTGAGAGAATGAGTTGGAATACCTCCAGGGGACAAGAAGGTCCAAAAGGTGACCATGGGAGGGTGTTAAGGTGTTGTTGGATAACTGCTAAGCTAGAATGTGGGTTAGTTCTTCCTCTTGAGTGTTGAAATCACCTAGGATGAAAGCCAACCTTGGAATGGAGAGGAAGACTGGAGACCAGGACCCAAAGTCTTGGGTAGTAAAGAGGTGACCAGGATGTTGCAGTGTTGGTGACAAGGAGAGGCTCGAGATTTTACAACTGAATATCATGAGCCACAGAAAAGAGGTGCTTTTTTCACTTGATGGTAGAGACTAGTTGTCCTGGAAGCAGCTGAAAAGGAGCTGCCTCTCAGAGCAGGTTGTAGGGGAAATAATATTCCTGGGGAGAGCCAGTCTTCAGTTAAGGAGGATGTAGAAGAGACTGAGGATGTTGGTAGTTCAATAACAGGATTCCAGAGGCTTGTGGGGGTGGGTGATATGTAGTCCAGGTGGCTTGGTGGAGGACAAGAAACAACATTTATAGGAATGGGAGTGTGGGTCCAGAACAGAAATGAGCAGAGGCGTCTATATACTGGACGCTTGACAAAAGATGATAGCGGTATGACATGGTAGGTCCTCCCAACTATAAGACTGCCATGAAAATAAGCTCCGGAGACAAACAAGAGTTCACATACATGGGAGAATTTAATATATGGTCAAGGAAACATTTCTAATCAAAAGTGCAAAGATGTTTAGTCAATAAATATGTAAGGATGACTGGTTATCCATTTGGGAAAAAATAAAATTAAATCTATATCTCATATCAAACACAAAAGTAAATTCCAGGTGGTTAAAGATCTAAAGATAAAAGCCATGCCATAAAACTATTAGAAGTATAGGAAACTGTTTATATGGTCCCAGAGGCAGAGGTGGCCTTTCTAAGCAGGCGGATAAAAGAAACCATAAAGGAAAAGATGAACAAATTTGACTACATAAAAACCAAAGCAAGAGGACCATAAGATTAAAAAATAAGGACACAGGGCGCCTGGGTGGCTCAGTCGTTAAGTATCTGCCTTCGGCTCAGGTCATGATCCC